TCGATGAGAGAGAAACATCGACCAGTTGCCTCCTGCACACCTCACACTGGGGATGTGCCCGCAACCAGGGTACATGCCCTTGACTGGAATTGAACCTGGAACTTTTCAGTCTGCAGGCCGACGCTCTATCCACTGAGCCAAACCGGTTTTGGCTCACTGTATTTTTAAAAAATATATTGTTTATTGATTTAAGGGAAAGGAAGAGAGAGAAACATCAATGATGAGAATCACTGATTGGCTGCCTGCTGCATGCCCCCAACAGGGAATTGAAGCATTACCTCATGGTTGATAGGTCAATGCACAACCACTGAACAACACTGGCCAGGCACAATAACTATGTTTTTAAACACTACACAAAAATAATTTTAGAGGATTTTGAACCACAAATACTAAACAAAATTATCATAATAAAACATACAAGAAATAAATAACATCTCTACAGATAAAGGAAATGTGTCAGAAAAACATGCATAGAGAATAGATCAAAATCATAACCTATTTCAAAATAAGACAAGATATTAAGAAAATGATAGTATACATGAGTTAGAAAAACTTATAAAGTGACAGAACTAAAAACAAGTAGAAATTAAATTTTTTTTTTTCAAAAGTAAAGACTGAACTAGAATGGACATAAAAGTGAGTAAACAGAATAGATTATGTCTTTAAGAGAAAAAAATTTAAGACATCAAAATATGACAAATATTGCAAGTCAGACAAAGAAGATCCAATAGACAAAAATAGTCCTTGAAGGGTGCGGGAAGAGACTGAACATAAACTGTGCACCTATGGATAAGGACAATGGGGGGTGAGGAAAGGGCAGAGGGTGGGGTAGTACCTGGTGGAGGGGGGGGAAAATGAGGAACTTTTGTAATAATATGAACAATAAAGGTTCATTAAAAATTAAAAAAAAAAATAGTCCTTGAAGAAGGAAACCTAAGCAAAAGCACGGCAAAAGAACACATAAAATTTTCCTCAAATAAAAGATCTGAAACTATGTATTGAAAAAGCATTTTTTTTAACCAAAACTATCAACCAGAAAAACAAATACCAATATACATATTAAACTTAATAGAATTTAAAGAAAAAAAATCCACATCTAATGGAGAACAAGGCAAAATCAATTTATAAAAGGATTATCAAACTTTGACAGCAATATGCTCTTATGCCAGAAAAAAAAATCGAACAACATTTAATATAATCAAGAGGAAAAAATGAGAGCCCAAGATTTTTTAAATTGATTTTAAAGACAGGAAGAGAGAAGGAGAGAGAGAGAAACATCAATGATGAGAATCATTAATTGCCGCCTCCTGGACATCCCCTACTGGGTGGGGATTTTGCCTGCACACGTCCTGACCAGGAATCCATCCGTGACCTACTGGTTCATGGGTCTATGCTCAACCATTGAGCTACACTGCTCGGGCGCAAATCAAAGATTTTTATATGCAACAAAATGGATTTTCAAGCATAAAGGGTATCGTTAGCAACATGCAAGAAATCAGAATATTGTTCTATAATTCTTTCTGTGGCATCTACTAGAAGTCAGCTTTAAATAAAAAAGACTACAATGACATGAGGACTGAAGATAAGCATTTAACATACTGAACATATGTACAGGGCGGGGCAAAAGTAGGTTTACAGTTGTGTATATGCAAAACAGTTTACTTTTTATTATTTTCCATACAGATAACTATAAACCTACTTTTGTTCTACCCTGTAAAACCTATATAACAAAGACGAATAAGGACTAAAAGATAATACTATGTAATGACTACAGGCTCAGAATGTATAACTATAAAACTCTATGTATGGTGGTAATGTGTACTAGACCTAACAATGGAATCACTTCATAAATTATATACATATATAATAAATTATATATATATTATGTATATATAAATTATATATAACAATAAATTATATATATAAATAAAAAAGCTCGGTGCACAAAATTCGTGCATGAGGTTGTGTGTCCCTCAGCCCAGCCTGCACCCTCTCCAATCTGGGACCCTTCAAGGGATATCCGACTGCCCGGACAGGCCCAATTCTGGCAAGCTCTGTATACTCAGTAAAATTAGATAATGAATAAAATTTTAGAATATTATTATCAAGAAGATAGTGTAATGACAATGTACATAGAGAGAAATAACAGAAGCCTCTATAAGCTCATTATGAATAATATATAACAAGTTCACCTTTTAATTCATTTCTAACATTGGGTTAGTAGACTAGGGAAAATACACACACACACACACCTCTAAATATTATAGATTCGAGAAATAATTTTTCTGTAAAGAATCTGATCTTTGTTATCTATACATATAAAGAGGTAATATGCTAATTTGTCCGTGTTCTCAAAACAACCAATTTACATATTGATGCACAGGCAGCAGGGGGCGGGTAGCTGGAGCCAAGTTCCTGGGGGTCTGAGGAGACTGCCTCCAAGGAGCCTGGACTGCAAAGAAGGAAGAGGAATCGGCCACAGGGAGCTCTTCCAATCCACCCTCCTGCAGCCCCCACACCCTCAGGGGGACGGGGAGGCTGACCAGACAGGGAGAAGAGGTAGCCTCGGGGTAGCTGCAGCTACCAACTCCAACTCCCCATCTCTTCCCCGCCACCCCTGCCAGGGGCGCCCACAATAGCACGCCGAGTGCTGGCCACCACCCGTCAGCACCCCGAGGGACCTGGGGGCTGCTGGAGCCCCTCTGCTGGGGCGGGGCTTGCCTCTCCTCCCTACAACTCCAGACCCGGGTGGAGGCAGGCCTGAACGGCCACCCACGGTCAGATCCTCCCCGCAACAGCAGCAGTGCCATCTCCACAGAGGAAGCTGGCTGAACCTCACTGGGGGCCAAGCTAAACCCATCCTCCTAGCCCACCTGGCTCCGCCCTGGCCCAGGCCCCACCCCGCTCCAAGAGATTGGAGCCCCACCCTGAGCAGGTACAGCTGTGAAACAGCCACGTACAATTTAAAGAATGGCACCAAGCGGGGATGTTTGACAATTACTCCTCCTTCAGCCTTGCGTCCCCCTAGCACCTCCCTAACGCCCTGTCCCCCTCCCACCAGCGCCTCCAGGGAGGACCACCACCGCTACAGGCTGCTGGCCAGAGCCTGCCCCTCCGAGGCCTGAGGAACCCTCTGCATAGCTTCCATAGCTACAGTCCCAGGAAACAATCATACCCTCCTCCTCTAATCAGCACCTGCTACCTGCGAGGGTGCCTATGAGCTTAACAATAACAACGCCTTCCCATTTAGACATCACTACCTTGCTGAAACATTTCTAGGTTTATTAGCTCAGAATCTCCTCATGTCAACCCAGTGAGGTAGATGGAAAAGAGATTACAATTCCCATGGTATATGTGTACGTATTCAGAAATGAAGCTCTGAAAGAAAAAGTGTCAAGCTTACTGGTTCTCAAGGTGCAGCACATGCCCCACGGGGGTGGGGTAGGGGTGGCAATTTGATTTTAAGTGGGGGCAAATCAAGAATAATAGTGAAATTTTTGCATTTCTTATGATTCTAGGGGGCCTCATCTATAGCGTATCCTACATAATAAAAGGCCAGTATGTAAATGACTGAATGGTGGAATGAGCCTTCACTATGATGGCTGCTGACACCAGGGGGCAGACACTCAATGCAGGAGCTGCCCCCTGGTGGTCAGTGTGCTCCCATAGGGGGAGCGCCGCTCAGCCAGAAGCCAGGCTCACAGCTGGTGAGCGCAGCTGCAGTGGCAAGGGCCTCTCCAGCCTCCCTGGCAATGCTAAGGATGTCTGACTGCCTTAGGCCGACTAAGCCATCAGTCGGACATTCCCCCAGGGCTCCCAGACTGCGAGAGGGCACAGGCCAAGCTGAGGAACCCTCCACAAGTGCATTTCTGAGTTTATAGAAATTACTTCAAAGAAACTTTTAAAAAATTCTATTTAAAATTAACAAAAATTTTACTAATATTAGAAAAACAAATTAAAATTAAACCATCAAAACAAAAACTCTATAAACAGAATACCAAATCTTGGCCAATGGTTTACAATAACTAAGCTTTTCAGTGATATGACAATAAAATCTACCCCTATGAATAAGAAGCAACAATGATTTCTTTTACTAATTATCAAAGTGATAAACTTATAATAAAAATGTATCATATAATAACCCCAAAAAAAGAACACAAGAGTAGTAAACAGTGATACAATCTATAGACAATGAAAATTAACAACACCATCCATTTATATAGTATGTTAAAATTTCTTCAACTACTTTCACCTATTTGCTATCTGATCTGAAAACAACTCTGAGGCAGACAAAACAGTTAATATTAGTCCATTTTACAGTCTTCCTAAGGCTCAGAGGGGTAAATGATTTCCTCAAATCACTCAAGTGGTCAGCAAACTGCAGCTCGAGAGCCACACACGGACCTTTGGCCCCTTTAGTTTTTAACAAAGGCCAGCTCAAGAATACCCTAATTAAGTTAATAACAATGTACCTACCTATATAGTTTAGGTTTAAATAAATTGGCTCTCAAAAGAAATTTAAATTGTTGTACTGTTGATATTTGGATCTGTTGACTAATGAGTTTGCCAACCACTGGTCAGCATCCATTCTTTCTTTAATCACTTTGTTTTCTCCTTAATGAAATAATACATTTTCATTGGCAAATGTTAGAATACAGATAAATCATTTCCCTAAGCAGACAATTATTAATAATATTGAGAAATTTTTACATTTCCTTTGAAATGAAAAACAATGTGATTAAAAGAAAAAATTCATGTAAAAGAAATACATATTTTTTACTTCCTATAATACTATGCTGGAAAAAAAAAATCAGATGATTAAGCGGATCAGTAAATAAAATAAATAATGTTTTCTTAAACAGCCACTAAATGTTTTGTATGTTAATACTTTTAAAATAACATCAAATGTTAATACTCTTAAGTGGGCTCTAGTAATATTAGATTTCTCATCTTTACATACTTGAAAATAAACTAAACTTTAATTTTAATGATGTAAGTACCTTGGGTGTGCTTCCTTTAATGAATTTTTTAATTGAAGACAGCAAGCCGGATTCATTCTTCGGTGGTTTTTCTCCTCCTACAGGTAGGCTATCATCAACTTCTGAATATTTCCTCTTTGCTCTGGCAGTGCGCTGTGTTTGGATTGGATTGGATTGCTGAGAAGCTTTTCGTGTTCTCAGCCTCATCTTTTATGGGTGCCACATGTAAAACTGTAAGAGAAAAATAACAAGGGTTATTAAAAACTTAATCTAGCATACCCATAGTTTCCCAGTTTATATAATAAAAACCTATTGGTTTAAAAAAGTCCAGGTTCCTAAGGAATTGAAGAAATTAACATTTTATGTGATTGAAATTTATAGTATACATTACCCCAAGTAACCTTCCCATCTTCTGAAATTATATCCTGTGATTGAACACCACAGTGTGCATGCTCTCTACAGTACTATGTTGCCTCCACCCATGCTAACATTATCATTCATTTAACCATTCATTTATTCATCATCAAGTTTCTCCTGAGCACCTACCATTCGAGGCACTGGGCTAGGAAATTACCTAGTAAATAATAAACAAGATAGGGGAAATTTTGCAAAATTTCTGGAACAAAAACTATAGTGGGTAAAAAACCCTTAGTCAATAAATGAATTTCATTAGCACGTTCTAATAATCAATATTCATACAAATGTAACAAAAAGTTGAATCATTTTGCAGGATTCGATTTTACCTTACTTAATGATACTTTAAAAGTTGAATTCCCACGAGAAAGAACATAAGCAGCAATCAACTTGACCTCTCTCATTTTATCAATGAGAAAATTAATAGGTGGCAAAGCTATCCCAAGACTAAGAAGTAGTTAAGAATACTGAATTAAAATCTGTAAAAAAAAATACCCTGAATTAAAATCTGTAAAACAGAATACTAAACTAGGAATGAAGAGCTGTGAATTCTAATCCTACCTTAATCATAGCTAAGCAATAGTCACAATTGTGTCTTTTAAACTGTATAAAGAATACATACACTCATCTTTTCACCTTGAGACTCAAAATGAAAAAGGAAATGGAAAACAATATAAAGTGTGGAGAACAATAAAATTATTCACAACAGTGAATGCATTTGTAGAAATTCTAAGCACTCTACAGCTGTAGATAATACCTGGCAATGGTTAGGGTCTTCACTGACCAACTAGGAAGCTTAAGAAGTTGTATCTTTACTAATACAACATAATGGTCACAGAATAAAAGTTAGAATCCGCCGGCACCGGTTTGGCTCAGTGGATAGAGCGTCGGTCTGCGGACTGAAAGGTCCCGGGTTCGATTCCGGTCAAGGGCATGTACCTTGGTTGCGGGCACATCCCCAGTAGGGGGTGTGCAAGAGGCAGCTGGTCGATGACTCTCTCTCATCGACGTTTCTAACTCTCTATCCCTCTCTCTTCCTCTCTGTGAAAAATCAATAAAATATATTTAAAAAAAAAAAAAAAAAAAAAAAGTTAGAATCCTTTAAAGTATATATAAAAACTATATACTACTATAGTATGTTATGCTGTACTATACTATACCTAAAGAATAACAAAAAAACCATATCCCCCAAATTCTGGGGATTCACCAGAAGTTCCAAAATCTTTCCAAATAATTATTTTTTTTCATCACCAAATGGTACTCAAATTTTCCTTTTAATTTAAAAAATATATATTTTATTGATTTTTTTTTTTTTACAGAGAGAAAGGGGAAGGGATAGAGTGTTAGAAACATCGATCAGATGCCTCCTGCACCCCCCCTACTGGGGATGTGCTTCCAACCAAAGGTATATGTCCTTGACCGGAATAAAACCTGGGACCCTTCAGTTCGCAGGCCGAAGCTCTATTCACTGAGCCAAACCAATTATGGCTTAATTTTTTTTTTTTAAATCCTCACCCAAGGATATATCCTAACTGATTTTTTAGAGAGAGAGAGAAAGAGCAGAGAGAGAAAGAGAAACATCAATCAGCTGCCTTCAGTACGTGTGCCCCTACCAGGAATATAAGGCAGGTATAGGTATGTGCCTATACCTGCCCTGACCAAGAATTGAACCCTCAAACCTTCTGGCATATTAGAGAACATTCCAATAACTAAGCCACCGAGCCAGAGGCAAATGGTGCTGAGTTAAGTTGCTATCCCCAAATTAAATAAATATTTCCTTTTCTCCTAAAGCGTCAATGTTAACTAACAAAGGGAGTTATCATTCAAGGCATGTATTATTTACTTAACTCTATTTACAGTGAATAAATTTGTCTTAATTCCTTTGGTGTTCAGCTCAGCACTTCTTAGAAAAGGAAAATCCCCATGCCACAAATGCATAAAAGAATTTTTTAATAGGAGTTATTTTTAATAAATTTCTATAGATATTTTTAAAAAAGATCTTAGTCTTGCCCTAACCAGTGTGGCTGGGTGGATAGAATGTCAGCCTGCAGACTGAAAGGTCCCAGGGTTGATTCCAGTCAAGGACATGTTGGGGGCACATCTCTCTCATCAATGTTTCTAACTCTATCCCTCTCCCTTCCTCTCTGTAAAAAAAAAAAAAAAAAAAAAAAAAAAAAAAAAAAAAAAAAAATCAATAAAATATATTAAAAAAAAAAAAAAAAAGATTTGTCTTGAAACTTACCAAGACTTGTGCGGCTCACCACATGGCCTAATTTAGTGAGCCTTCCATGTGAGATTGAAAAGTACTGTTTTCTTCATCTGTGTGTGAGCTGTCAGTTTTGAAATTCCATGAGGATTTGACTGCTCTAGCCCTTTCTGACTTAAAAATACACCTTTTATGCGGCCAGGCCCGAGGCAGTGGCTGCCAGGCTGGGAGCGGCCAGGCCCGGGGGAGCAGGCGGGTCGGGTGCGGCCAGGCCCAGAGCAGCGGCTGCCAGGCTGGGAGCGGCCAGGCCCGGGGGAGCAGGCGGGACTGGTACGGCCAGGCCCGGAGCAGCGGCTGCCAGGCTGGGAGCGGCCAGGCCCGGGGGAGCAGGCGGGTCGGGTGCGGCCAGGCCCGGAGCAGCGGCTGCCAGGCTGGGAGCGGCCAGGCCCGGGGGAGCAGGCGGGGCTGGTACGGCCAGGCCCGGAGCAGCGGCTGCCAGGCTGGGAGCGGCCAGGCCCGGGGGAGCAGGCGGGTCGGGTGCGGCCAGGCCCGGAGCAGCGGCTGCCAGGCTGGGAGCGGCCAGGCCCGGGGGAGCAGGCGGGGCTGGTGCGGCCAGGCCCGGAGCAGCGGCTGCCAGGCTGGGAGCGGCCAGGCCCGGGGGAGCAGGCGGGTCGGGTGCGGCCAGGCCTGGAGCAGCAGCAGCCAAGTCCAGAGCAACTAGGTCGGGAGCAGCAGTGACCAGACCCAGAGCAGCTGGTTGTGGAATGAACCAGAGCAACAGAGGCCAGGCCCTGAGCAGCCAGGCCCGGAACAGCTCGCTCCTCGCCTGCCCCTGCCCCACGGCTGCTTCTCAGACATGGCTGGAAACTTTCATGGGAACTTGAGGGTCTGCTGAATCAAGTGATGAAGGCTTAGATCTGGATGTGTTGAGTTAGTATAGGGCTGGGGTATTGATCTGTGAGTGCCTTGGGTGGGGCCTGGATGAGGCTGGTGGACCTATTGGGAAATGTCTTTTGTGTGAAGTGTATCTTTGGGCATGTGGAGGTATTATTGATATGAGAAAATGCTAAGTAACTGATTTACTATCTGAAAAGGGAATTACTATTGTGGAAAGGGAGGGAAGAAGAGACTGAACATAAACTGTGCACCTATGGATGAGGACAATGGGGGATGGAGAGGGGGCGGAGGGTGGGATGGGAACCTGGTGGAGGGGGGAAGAAATGAGGAACCTTTGTAAAAATATGAACAATAAAGATTGATTTAAAAAATAAATAAATAAAAAATAAAAATAAAAATACACCTTTTACAACTCACCATCAGAATGGACAAAAACCCTCCACATTTCATAATTTCCTTGTTTAAATGTTCTTGTTTGCTTTCCAGCAAATATCCAGTGGTTATTTTTTTTAAAATATATTTTACTGATATTTGTACAGAGAGGAAGGGAGAGAGATAGAGAGTCAGAAACATCGATGAGAGAGTCATCGATCAGCTGCCTCTTGCACACCCCCTACTGGGGATATGCCCGCAACCAAGGTACATGCCCTTGACCGGAATCGAACCCGGGTCCCTTCAGACCCCAAGCCAACGTTCTATCCATTGAGCCAAACTGGTTTTGGCCAGTGGTTATTTTTTAATTCAGAGGATATTTTTCTCCTAAGCTTTCCCAGAACCTTCACTCTCTCCATGCAGAATGATCTAGTATATATATATATATATATATATATATATATATATATATATATATACATATACACACACACACACACACACACACACACACACACATACATATACACACACACACACATATATCCACAGACACACACACACACACACACACACACACACGGCCTAGTGCACGAAATTTGTGCATAGAGGGGGTATTCCTCAGCCCGGCCTGCAGCCTCTCCAATCTGTCCTACTGCCAGTTTATAGGGATTGGGCCTAAACCAGCAGTTGGACATTCCTGTCACAATCCGGGACAGCTGGCTCCAGCCACTCACCTGCCCAACTGCCTGATTGCCCCTAACCATTCTGCCTGCCAGCCTGTTCGCACCCAAATGCATCGGGCCTCTAGTATCTCCAATAAAATTAGAAATCTTAAAAAGGAAAAAGGAAATTTGATGGCCGAAACTGGTTTGGCTCAGTGGATAGAGCGTTGGCCTGTGGACTGAAGGGTCCCAGGTTCGATTCCGGTCAAGGGCATGTACCTTGGTTGCGGGCACATTCCCAGTAAGGGATGTGCAAGAGGCAGCTGATCAATGAAATGACAAAATCCTAGAAAGACACAACTACACTGGACTCATGAAAAAATAGAAAATCGTTGAAACCGGTTTGGCTCAGTGGATAGAGCGTCAGCCTGAGGACTGAAGGGTCCCCGGTTCGATTCCGGTCAAGGACATGTACCTTGGTTGCGGGCACATCTCCGGTAGGGAGTGTGCAAGAGGCAGCTGATCGATGACTCTCTCTCATCGATGTTTCTAACTCTCTATCTCTCTCCCCTTCCTCTCTGTACAAAATCAATAAAATATATTTTAAAAAATAAATAAATAATCTGTTGATGGCAATGTAAGGTTTTTAGTTG